AAATATATTACTCTTGTATTACTTTTGTACAGTATAATGTACATCTTTAAATATTCAATTTTCTATCAAATTTAAATAAAACAATTAAATTATAAAGTTTAATTTTTTTTTATAAAATTGTATAAAAAATTATACAATTATTAGCCTATTAAAAAATGATTTAAAGGAGTATTCACACAATTGTTCTTCCATGTATTAATTTCAACAGTAAACCTCAGTTTGTTTGCCAAAAACTAAAAGGGTTTTATTTTAATTTGATTTAAAATAAATGTTTAATGCCTTCATTTGATTTTCAGAAAAAATAAAACAAGAATTTCTGGGGGGGAAAAAGGAAAGAAAGAAAGAAAGAAAGAAAGAAAGAAAGAAAGAAAGAAAGAAAGAAAGAAAAAAAGTTTGTAGGGCCCTATTGTTCAAAATGTTCTTTAAATATTCAATTTTCTATCAAATTTAAATAAAACAATTAAATTATAACGTTTATTTTTTTTTTTTTTTAAATTGTATTAAAAATTATACAATTATTAGCCTATTAAAAAATTATTTAAAGGAGTATTCACACAATTGTTCTTCCATGTATTAATTTCAACAGTAAACCTCAGTTTGTTTGCCAAAAACTAAAAGGGTTTTATTTTAATTTGATTTAAAATAAATGTTTAATGCCTTCATTTGATTTTCAGAAAAAATAAAACAAGAATTTCTGGGGGGGAAAAAGGAAAGAAAGAAAGAAAGAAAGAAAGAAAGAAAGAAAGAAAGAAAGAAAGAAAGAAAAAAAGTTTGTAGGGCCCTATTGTTCAAAATGTTGAAATTGAGACTTTTGGACTTATTTTTTCACTGAAATAAATGTTTTTGTAATTACACACAGAGTAAAGTACCGAAAAAAGGTACCGTTAGGTACCGGCAGCAAGATTCAGGTACCGATACCGTACCGGTTAAAATGTGAACGGTACCCAACCCTAGTATTTACACTACAATTACATGAATTATGTTATAAGAGGCATGCTTTAAAATAGCATTTTCAGTGTAGAAATATGAAATTTACTTTTAAATATGAAACAAGTGATAAGTGAGTCATTGAATCATTGACTCGCCTGATTAGTTTCGGTAACAAAACACAATGTGCAACGGTTCTGCTGTGGCTTTGTTTGGAGCTATTATTGCTTGTGAAATAGAACAAAAACAGACAATATTGTGTCTAAAATGCTAAGATACTTAATATTAATCACTTGTTACTAAACTGTAGTATAAAATCAATATCACATTTGCAGTCATGCTGTTATTTGGGAAAAGCTGTGCTCTTGCATGTGTGCATATGCTTTAAAAATTCAAAACAAACTCATACAAGGGCATATTCAGGGCCACTTCTGCATATTTCTCAGATTTGGTGGCATTTTTCCCCAAGCCTCCGTTAATGATTGACCAACTTATTTGATTCTCTCAAATGTGAGGCTTTTTCAGCTTCCGTTGAGTAGCCAAATACTTCTGAGCTAACTAAAACCAACTGAACTTTGTCATAATAATGCTGATACAGCCGCTCTGTCTTTCAGGGGAGATCCGGATGGCGTTCGTCCTGTACAAGCATCTGGGTTCGTATCTGTCCACTGAAAACGCCAGCATGAAGTTCAGCAGCGAGACGTTAAACACAAACTACTCTGTCATCGTCAACTCTCCCGTTATAACGGCGGCCATCAACAAAGACAGTAACAAAGTCTACCTGTCCGACCCCGTCATATTCACCATGCGACATATTCAGGTACAGAGCCGAGCGATTTGTGTTGCATTCGCTGTGAGATTTGTTGTCGGAATAAAACATCATTTCACACCAACTGCATTCATGCCTGAAGTATGTTTCTTCAAGCATTTTAATGAAACACACCCAGCAAATCAACTTTAATCAAGTTCGAAAAATGCAGAAAATGTGTCCGTCTGGGTTGAATATTGTAGTTTAGAGGTCACAGTATGGAATAGAGGGGTTTGCAATGTGAGCCAGATCGATTATTTGGATGATAGTGATACGTTCTGTATTAAGGCCTGCTCACAACAAGGATAACAACTATAATGATAAAGATGAAGTTTGAAATATTGTTCTAAATGTGAAAGAATAACAGGCTACACTTGATTTCGACACTTGTACTGTAGGACGTTATGATTTATGTGATGTGGGAAACACGGACGCAATAGCTGAATCCATTAGATTAGAGTATTAGTAGACTGTTAGGTTAGGGTTAGGGTTAGTTAAATAAGTGGCAAAGTTACTTACAGTCAGTAAAATCAAAATAAAGTGTTAACAGATATAAAGCAGCCAGTCTACTAGTTGACATATAGTTGCAAAGTTACTTAGAGTTAGCAGAATAGCTGCAGTTATATTTGATAAACAGAACAATATTGTGCATTGATGTGGACACTAGTATAACTATCATTAGAGTTATCATTGTCGGTGTGAACGAACCCTTGTAAAAAGTACTCTTAAGCATTAGAAGTAATACGCTTTAAAAAGAATATACTTAAGTGCAAACTGAATTTAGTATTTTCAGATGCATGCTCCATGTGCATGTTAACTGCAATTAAATTAAATTGTATTATAGTTTAAATCTATGTTAAACACAGTTAGCTCAACCAACGCTTCAGTAGGACTTTTGATATGTAACTGTCTTATGGTTAAAATGGCTCATCCAATTGTATTGCTATCATCCTTCCTGCAATGTCATGATTGGTAAAAAAAAAATAGTTCTGCTCGTTAAAATCTGCCAATTCCCTCGCCACCAGCATTTATGCTTGAATTATTTTTCTCCATGCGCTTTATTGAAACGCACCCAAAAATGACACACACACACACACACACACACACAGAGAATCTGTGCTTGCAGGCTCGATTAGAGCTGGAAACGTGGTTTCCACTTTGTGTGCGTAGGATTCGCTCACGGGAGAAAGATATCGGCAAATCCACAAGGAATCTGCAGATTTCCACAGAATACCAGCAGCCAGCTGTCTGGAGTGTCTGTTTGTTATAGATTTTGGCTACTTTGATAATGCTTTAGCCAGCAGTTTAAATCCATTCCTTAGAATTCTTAGAATTTTTTTCTAAAAATGCAAAATGCATAAAAACATTCCGTCTGGGTTGAATATTGTAGTTTAGAGGTCACAGTATGGCATGGAGGCTAGATTGATTAGTTTGATGAATGTATTCTACATTATTCTGTATTTGCTTACCCTTGTGAAAAAAGAACTGCACTTCAGTAGTGGAAATCATATTCTTTAAAATATAGATATACTTGCATGTAAACTGATTGTAATGTTGTCAGCGGTGTTATATTAGTATCACTGACATACTATTATAGTTTTTAGAAGCAGTTTTGCAGGTTTTATTTTTATAGTTTCCGTTTCATTTTAATTTTAGTTAAAGTTTTAGTAATTTTGTTGAGCTTTTTTTTTTGTGTGTGTCATTTGTGTCTATAGTTTTAATGTACATTTTGTATAAATTATTATTTATTAATTAAATTATGAATTGTATAAATAATTGTATAGTTTGTAATACTTGTATTTAATTGTGCTTTTTTATAATTAATATTATTGTAGTTTTGTAGTTTTTATTAATTTAGCTTTTTTTAGTTTAGTTGCAACTAGCTGTTTTTAATGTTTTATTTCATTTAATGTTTAACTCTTTCCCCGCCAGCATTTTTGAAAAAAGTTGCCAGCCACCGCCAGCGATTTTGATGATTTTCACTAAAATGTGATGGCCTCCAGTATACTTTTCTGTATGGATATTTGAATATGCATTTTTGTATTTCTTAGCAGTTTTATTCTAGCTTAAATCATTCTTTTTTTTTTCAACACTTGAATATGGGTAGGTCATTATTTTGAGCAAAAGGGTGAGAAAATCACATTTTTATCAAAAACTACATCTGAATAATATTCAGTACGATTATCAAAGCATAAATCCAGTAAATCGTTTCCATCAACACCTCCGAAGCTTGCACAGACATATATACCACTTCCTAAATCAACATTTTACTCTGTAACATTATGCAGTTTTCATTTATATGCTGTCTATTGCTGATGATCGCATTATTGTTTTCATATGCATCTGTTTACATAAGAGATCGCTCGTTTCTCCGTCCTGTTCACGTGTGTTTTAGTTCGGGAGGTTCAGAAGATGTGTAATAGCACCCCCGAGTGTATAACAGTGAAAACACGAAAAGCCGTAAAAACTCGTCTTTGGCGGTGAAGCGTTTTCTTGTAAAAGACGAGATAACTCGTCAATGGCGGGGAAAGAGTTAATCTCAAGTAACTGTTTTTTTTTTGCTGTATTTTTTCGGACACCTAATTGCATGTTAATTGCAATTAAACTGGAATTTTATTATAGTTGAAATTTGTATTACATGCAATTACAGAAGCTGAACTCTAGAGTGTTTTACCTACTGAAGTAGCCTACATCTTTATGTGTAATTTCATAGTTACTTCTATTGTCTTTGAAATGTAGGTAAAATGGCTCGGCCAGTCATCCAATTTTGTCTTTGTCATCCATCCTGCAGTTTCATGATCAGTAATAATGAGTTCTGCTCAGTGCTGCAGTGCTTTGCTGAAGGTTTTGGACCCTGAGCGTAACTCTTATTCTCGCTTATGTTGTGTGTTTCGCTGCTTTCCTCGCTGACGCAGTTTGTTTTTCCTCGTCTTCCAGCAGTCAGAGGAGAATTTCAACCCCAACTGTTCGTTCTGGAGCTACTCGAAGCGCAGTATGACGGGCTTCTGGTCGACGCAGGACTGCCGGCTGCTGGGAACCAACCGAACGCACACCACCTGCTCCTGCACACACCTCACCAACTTCGCTGTGCTCATGGCTCACGTGGACGTGAAGGTAGAGACGCCGCAAACACATCTGTCCCAGATATAAACATCAGACTATTCATCTGTCAGCGCGTTGAAACACTGCATGCAGATCACAGCAGAAGTTGTTTACACATCCGTTTTTGCGCTCGCTTCAATGCAACAATTTACACATTGCAACAAATGTGCATGTTTTACAAATGAACAACAGTATCACGAACACCCCCAGCTATGTAAATATATCTTATTAATGTGTTTCTTGTCATTTAGCATGGTGAAAACCAGCAATCCACTGTACAAAAACGTAAACGCTTACACTTGAAGCTATTATGTATAATGAATTATAAATAAATAACCGTAACCAATAACACTATGTACTATAGTGTACACTATACAGTAACACTATATGATGTAAATCATCCCGGGATGTTTTGGAGGTGCAGGATGTGCTCTGAAGAAATCAGAAGAAAGACGTGAGGTGTGTTTATGTGGAGCAGATCTCTGTGGAGACTGTTTATTGTGCGCTGATGACTCCAGGCTGTGAGGTGCATTGTGGGAGATCAGCGGGTGGGCGGTCTTTATCTCTCCATATGATCCATGATCAACGACGATTCCCAGCTGAGCGACTTAATACACGCCGAACAAACACGCATACACTGGTGTGTTTGCATTGTTACTGTTGCTTTCGGTTGGTTTTGTGTGTATTTTTAAAGGCCAACAGGATGTGTCTGATGTGCAGCTCGACGCCTGCTGAGTTTTTGTGAGTCGTTGCCATGCATTGTTTTCCACCGCTCACCTATTAGTGCTATTTGACTGTTTCTGTGTTGTTGTTTCTCTATTGATGTCTATTGTTGTGTCCTGTGTGGTAGACGGTTTTTCTCCGTCTGGCAGGCATGGGGTCGCATGGGACGGAGCCTCACCCAAGTGCATTTAATCTAAAAGCTTCATTTACATGTTACATTCAGAGCCCGAGTTTGGCTTTACCTGGAGAGAAATGGAAGAACAATTGGAGTGAAAAATGAGGAGGAGAAAATACATTTTGATGGATGAAAGAAAGGCGCTGTGGAGCGCCGTCGACAGCCGAGGCACTCGAGAGAGGAGTAGATCGCTGACAGACGTTTTGATTAGCAAGTCAGAAGGGTAAACCGTGGGTCTCCTTCAGGTCCTGCTGTTTAAAATAAAATCTCGCCACTCAGATTTCATTTACACTGTGTAAGTCATGTCTGGAAGTAGAGGTCAAGAATGGTGAGGATTGGAGACACACCCATTTGAGGCAGTGACACGCCCAACACGGAATTGAACACGCCCATAAACACACCCACATTTGGGCATGAGCACCAGTGTTGTTATCGATAACTAAAACTATCACAAAATTGTTGATAATGGGAACAAACCTTCTATAAATTAGAAATATCAGATGAAAACCTCAAAAATTTTACACTAAAATAAAATAAATTGAAGTACTAAATTTCCTGGATTTAAAACTAAAGCGAAAATAAATTGAAGATAAACAGAAATATTTCAAATTAACAAGAACTAATGATACTGACAAAAAGCTGAATTTAACTTAAATTAAAATGAAAACTTAAAAGCTGTTATTAATTGCAATATTAATACATATTCTAATAGTTTAGAAATAATAATAAAATACGCATGCACGGTCATCAGGATTAGCCACACCCACATTTTGTGTAGCCACACCCACCACTCATTTGACCACACCCCGTCATGGGTTAGTTACATTCACTACACACTTGAACACACCCACCTTGGGCTGAGTCACACCCACATCAGACATGGAAACCCCCACTGCGGGCTTAGCCACACCCACTGTACATATTGGGTTTGTGGGCGTGTCTTTTTTTTAGTTCACAAGCTTGTGGTCCTTCGGGAAAACACAAACATATCAAGCACGCTGGGTGTGTGTGTTTGTGCACACGATCGGCCAAATAAACCAGATCTCATTAACTACGGAAAACAACTTTTTAATATTTTTGTACTTGAAAGACTAATTCAAAATACTTCAGAAATGTTGCCTTGGCTACTAACTGAAATAAAATAAGCTGATGTGCTAAAATGACTAAAATTGAAACTTTTTAAATGTTCAACTACAATTGAAACAAACTAATCATGTAAAACTGTTCTGCATTTTGTTACAGTGGCAAACATGGGAATGTACAAAAAATAAAAAAAATAGTTGTACATTTTGTCACACTGCCAAACTGCATTGTAAAGGGGAAATAATTGACAAAGTTAAGAATTAGAAATGTTGAAATAAAGTGGAAATACTAAAAGGAAAACGAATTAAAGCTAAATGTAAATACTTGAAATCAACAAAAGCTAAAAAAGGAGAAGAATAAGGAGAAAAGCATGTAACAGGATTACTAAAATGTAAACTAAAATTAACTAATTTTTTGTAAAAAAAATTTCTACACTGCCTGTACTGCCAAATTGCATTGCACAGGATTTCTTTGTTTCCAAAATGAAGATATTGTACTGCAGAACTGTAAGCCACACCCACTTCAGATATGACCACGCCCATTTAGGCACAGCCACACCCACGTAAGTGTGCAGCCTCATAGATGCGTTTCATTTTCTGTCCATGAATCGTTTTCAGTCTTCGACTGTTGAGTAAGGAGAGCGAGGTTTGCGGGTCGATCCTCACAGGTGAGTGTTGTGTTGTTGACACGGCTGCGACGGCGGCAGCCGCATTAATGGACGCATCGAGCGCTGGAGTGATGCTGAGTCTGGGGACAATGTCAGACAACCGTCATCCATCAATCTTAAAGGAGGCTGCTGGTCGCCATGGTTACCTCACGCTCTCATCGCAGAGGTGTGCGTGTGAAAGGCGACAGAATTACAGCTCGTTAGGACGAGGAAACGAGGACTGATTGAATTCTGATAGTGAAATGTGTTCATGTTTATTGCTCTGAAGGCCTTCACGAATGACTGAAATCATTCAACACATTCACTCTCACCGCAACTAAAGCTGCTGCTACTCTCACACTTTCATCATTCACACATGATGGAAGCTGTGCTGTTCAGATGCACACTACTGTTCAAAAGTTTGAAGTTGGTAAGATTTGTTTTAATATATTTTTGAAAGAAGTCTCTTCTGCTCACCAAGGCTGAATTTATTTGATCAAAAATGCAATCAAAATCAGTAATATTGTGAAATATTATTACAATTTAAAATAGCTGTTTTTTTACGTGAATATCTGTTAAATCCATATTTAGAAGTATCATTTTATATTTATATACTGAAAATGTTATTTTGAAACATGTCTCTGTGTAACATGTAATTGTAGTGTAAATGCATATGTAACAGGATTACTAAAATGTAAACTAAAATTAACTAATTTTTTGTAAAAAAATTTCTACACTGCCTGTACTGCCAAATTGCATTGCACAGGATTTCTTTGTTTCCAAAATGAAGATATTGTACTGCAGAACTGTAAGCCACACCCACTTCAGATATGACCACGCCCATTTAGGCACAGCCACACCCACGTAAGTGTGCGGCCTCATAGATGCGTTTCATTTTCTGTCCATGAATCGTTTTCAGTCTTCGACTGTTGAGGAAGGAGAGCGAGGTTTGCGGGTCGATCCTCACAGGTGAGTGTTGTGTTGTTGACACGGCTGCGACGGCGGCAGCCGCATTAATGGACGCATTGAGCGCTGGAGTGATGCTGAGTCTGGGGACAATGTCAGACAACCGTCATCCATCAATCTTAAAGGAGGCTGCTGGTCGCCATGGTTACCTCACGCTCCCATCGCAGAGGTGTGCGTGTGAAAGGCGACAGAATTACAGCTCGTTAGGACGTGGAAACGAGGACTGATTGAATTCTGATAGTGAAATGTGTTCATGTTTATTGCTCTGAAGGCCTTCACGAATGACTGAAATCATTCAACACATTCACTCTCACCTCAACTAAAGCTGCTGCTACTCTCACACTTTCATCATTCACACATGATGGAAGCTGTGCTGTTCAGATGCACACTACTGTTCAAAAGTTTGAAGTTGGTAAGATTTGTTTTAATATATTTTTGAAAGAAGTCTCTTCTGCTCACCAAGGCTGAATTTATTTGATCAAAAATGCAATCAAAATCAGTAATATTGTGAAATATTATTACAATTTAAAATAGCTGTTTTTTTACGTGAATATCTGTTAAATCCATATTTAGAAGTATCATTTTATATTTATATACTGAAAATGTTATTTTGAAACATGTCTCTGTGTAACATGTAATTGTAGTGTAAATGCATTCATGCCATCTCTGAGCTGCATCAATTTATTATTTAATGAGATTAACATTATTAAATTAGATTATTTAGATTATTTAATGTTTTTGACAGAAGTTTCTTCTGCTCACCAATGCTGTTTTTTAATTAAAATACAGTAAAAACTGTAATATTGTGAAATATTATAACAATTTACAATAACTGATTTTTATGTGAATATATTGTAAAATGTAATGTATTTCTGTGATGCGCAGCTGTATTTTCAGCATCATTCCTCCAGTCTTCAGTGTCACATGATCTTCAGAAATCAGTATAATATGCTGATCTGCTGCTCGAGAAACATTTCTGATTATCATCAATGTTGAAAATAGTTGTGCTGCCCGATGTTTTTGTGGTAACCGTGATGCATTTTATCTTTCAAGATTGAATTGAAAATAGCAGCATTTATTTGAAATATAAATCTTTTGTAAAATTATACATGTCTTTTCTGACACTTTTGATCAATTTAATGCAGCCTAAAAAAAATTTGGTTTAAATAAATGTAATATTTGTATTATTTATGAACTTTGAACAGTGGCTAAAATATTAAATCGAGTAAAAGGGTTAGTATTTAGTATCAGTAATAGCTGGTAGGCTATTAGTGATCTTAGCATGAACAACTGACTGTAGATTAAAACATTTCTCTAGAAGACTGACATGATCTCATCACAGCAATTGTTATTTGGTCATTTAAAAAGATTGTAGGTGCATAGGCACCTATTAAATCCATTCATTTTCTGCTTCTGCTTCTTCCGCTCTTGAGTCTATGGAAGCCAAGTTATGAAATTTGGCACACTGATAGAGGACAGTCTCAACATTAACCATAGCACATTTGGAGTCTCTAACTCAAACTCTCTAGCGCTACCAACAGTTCAAAAATTGCCTTTGAACCATACGGGCTAGAAACAATATTCTCTTCTCTTTTGATTCCTTGGCTCAAGATGATTCAATACCGAAACCAGATCCTCTTCAGACCATGTCGGGAAAAATAAGTGATGGAATTCAAGTTGATTAGTCAAACTGTTCTCGGAAAACATGCGAATGAAGAGCGCGCCAAAGTGGACATGAGGCTATATCGCCGCAACGCTTTAGCATATTAAAACCAAAATTGGTGTGTCTCATAATAACCATAACCTGAGGCTGACTGCACGGTTTCGGCACAGTGCCACCTAGTGGTCAGGAGATATGAAAAATGGACGTTTGTGCTTATAACTTCTGAATGCTTTGGCCAAAAATCACATGACTAGTCTCTATAGATTGGGTACGACATATAAGTTGAACAATACACTTTTTTTTTTACCACGTGGGCCATTTTGGGGATCATTCATTTAGAATTTTATGTAAAATGCTATTGCAGTTGTCACTGGGGTGGTACCTTTCACTAATATGTACACTTTAGGTGCCAATATGCACTTGTAAAGTACTATTATGCACTCTTTAGGGGTAAATAAGGTACAAAGGTGTGCTTTTTTTCAAAGGCAGCGCCCCAGTGACAGCTTTTGTAGCTTCTTTATTTTTCTGAGAGTGCATGCACACGTGTGTGAGTGTGTGTTTATAGACACGTAGATTTACTTGAGCTCAGCGTTGACTCTATAAAGTCTGAGACTCGCTGTGGATTCTGCTGAGCAGGCTTGAGCTTTTGATTTACTTACAGCACTGACACACACACACACTGCTGTTGAATGTAGAGGAGATATAGCGCTCAAGGGTGAGTGGGCCTCAGGAAGAGTGATGTGTTATGTGCTCAATGGCCCTCCGGCGCTCAAACACACACACACACACACACACACAAGCAGTGTACTGTTACCTATGCAGCGCTCATAAATATTCATGTGCTGTGTTCTTCAGAAGTGCTGACATCCGGTCTTCCAGACTCAAAGTCTCCTGGGATGTGTCCCATATCAGCTGTGCTCTTCTCCCCTGGCTGTGTGGCCTCCGTAGGGACCCTACAGAGGGAGTACAGTGGGAATCGGTGACGTGTCAGCGGGATCTGAGCGCTTTAACTGAAGTGCGATAATAAATCAAACTCCCTGTCACCGGCGCTTAACAGAAAATACACAATAGATGCGTGAAGTGGGTTTTGTAGGGTTATTAACAGTGCAGGAAGTAGTTTGTGGCTTTTCAGTAAAAGATACTCTTTTTTTAAGGTAATTAATTACACCACGAGGAGTAGCTACCTACTGAGCAAAGGTTCATTATCAGTGTGAATAGCTCCATGGCACTGTTTCTATTTATTTGTGTTTGTTTGTTTGATGGTTGGTTGCTTGACTGTTTGATGAGTCCCTAAAACAATAAATACATCATTTAAAATAATTTTAAAATTATAATAATAATTAAAATTTAATTAAATAATAAATGAAATATTTACTTATAATGAATAATATTTATTTATGTCTGGGTACCTTGAACAATATATAAATCAAACATAAAATTAAAAATGATCACATTTTATTAAATATTTATAAATCATAAAATTATCATTTTAAACGTAAATTGTTTTTATACATTTATGTCTGAATCTCTAGAACAATACATAATAAATTGATTTAAAAAAATCAAAATAATCATTTTAAAAATGATTTATTTAGTAATGTATAAATAAATACTATAAATATATAATTCTTACATATATTTAAAAATATTTTTTTTTTAAATGTTATTTATAAATATTTAAAAACATATATGTAGTTTTGATTGATTGATTGATTGATTAACTGGGCCCCTAAAACAAACAATCAATCAATCAATCAATCAATCAATCAATCAATCAATCAATCAATCAATCAATCAATCAATCAATCAATCAAACAATCAATTCACTTTTGCATATATAATAAAAAACTTGATATATGTCACCATCAAACCCTCGGGGGCATGTGCAGTTTGCCAGTTTTGGCAAAGCACCATCTACTGAAAAAGAAATCATGCAGCAAAAAAAAACAAACTAGTTCTAACTTAGTAATTTCTTCACTGATATTTCAGACGTCCGCGGTCATGTCGAGTACAATGACACCCATCTTACCAAAGTCAGCTATCTGAAATTTTATTGAAAACTTGCCTTTTGAAACTCCTACATCTTTCATCATCTTCGGCTCAGATATTCTTGACACCATGCCAATAAAAAGATACTAACATGTTGATAGGCTTTTGATACAGCAGAGCGTGTGTAACACATCAACACAACTGACAATGAGGAGAAGCTGAAGTTTGGTGACGCTTTTGCTTATTCAGATGAAACCATGCGGGTGGAATCACATCCTGCACCGCACACGATAAGTCTCAGTTAGTATTTTCATAGTTTTCCCGTGAAAATATGTAAACGGTCACCTAAAACCAGATGAATTTACTTGAGAAGCAAACTCAAGCAAGTTTGAAGTAACTGTGTAAAATATTAAGACTTGTTTTCAGAAAATATATCTTGAAGCAAGTTTTCTTTATTTGTTTGTTTTTACCTAACGGCAATTTGTATGTTGTTGTTGTTGTTTACTCATGCATTAAACCAAATGTGTAAGGTTTAGGCTTATTGCCCAAAAAATAATAAGTAGAGAAAAGTAAAAGTAAAATAATAAATAAATAAATAAACATAATATATTTATGCAGAAGTGTCATTTTAGTATTATATATATTTTTTTTTATTTATATATATATATATATATATATATATATATATCAACTAACTGAAATAAAAGAAGTCTACACCTTTCCATATTTTATTTTAAGTTAACATCCATTTTATTTCAAGTTACAGAAATATTTTTGTATGGTATTAGTGTTGATGAATGATAATTACCCTGATCTTGTCATTACATTTGCATTGTTTACCACAGTTTCATTTTTTAAGCATAAATAACAGTACATTTTCTTAAATGTATGCTTGCCAGTGGGGTAGGAAATATAGACATAATTTAAAATACACATACACTGAAAAACACATCTTATCTTGTACCATTTTGCTTCTCAAGTAAATTTAGTTTTAACAATGTTTAGATATTTTTACTGATAAAGAATATGATTTTTGCACTTCTTTTCACTGCTTTTTCCATACTGTGCAGCTGGGAAGATCGTGTGTTTGGACACGGGAAGTTTTAAATGGCTGACTGCATGTATTTATTAGTTCATGAGAGGGTGAAATAGCACAAGTGTGTGTGTCATAAAGATTTAATGAGAGAGCGTTCAGTGTGTGTGACTCTAATGCAGAACATCATGCATGATTCATGATCTTTAAAGCCTCTTATTTCATATTTTTCAATTATCTGAGCAGGTTTGTGAGGTCGCAGAACAGCATCCATCAATGTCCACATAACGAGAGCGTTTGTGTGCGTCTTTCAGATCGCCTGCGCCGTCTTTGCGGCTCTGCTGCATTTCTTCTTCCTGTCTGCGTTCACGTGGATGTTTCTGGAAGGCGTTCAGCTCTACATCATGCTGGTGGAGGTGTTTGAGAGCGAGCATTCGCGCAGGAGGTATTTCTACCTGGCCGGATACGGCATTCCTGCGCTCATCGTAGCCGTTTCTGCCGCAGTGGATTACCACAGTTATGGGACGGACAGAGTGTGAGTC